AGTGGAATCAAAGAGATGTGTCCGGAGCCGGAGGTTCTTCGTCCTCTTAGCTATTTCTTCGACATTCTTGAAGGCGTTCCAAGCCGCTCTCTTCCTCCTGCGCAGCTCGGGTGCCAGGTCATTTGTCATGTTGACCTCTCGACCTAGGTACACATAGCTGTTGCATTCGGAGATGGTCGTTCCATTGAGAGCGAATGGGGCGTCAGGAACAAGGCTGTTTCTCATAAACATTGTCTTCGTAAGATTCAGCTGTAGTCCTACCTTTCCACACTCATGGTCAAAGTCGGCCAGCATTTGTGCCGCTTGGCTGATGTTTGGTGTTATTAAAACAATGTCATCAGCAAAGCAGAGGTGGTGTAATTGCCGACCATCTATCTTCACTCCCATTCCTTCCCATTCCAGTCGTCGCATGATGTTCTCGAGGGTGGCACTGAAGAGTTTCGGTGAAATGGTATCACCCTGCCGCACCCCTCTCTTGACATCAACGATCACTTCTTTGTAGAATGGTGAGATCCTGGTAGTGAATCCGCAATACAGCTCACAGAGGATCCTGATGTATTGGGCTTGAATGCCCTGATTGGCTAGGGCTTCAATGACCGCTTCCGTCTCAACAGAATCAAAGGCCTTCTTTAAATCAATGAACGTTGAACAGAGCGGCATTTTGAACTCCCGAGAAACCTCAATGAGCTTGGTTATTGTGTGGATATGGTCGATGGTGCTGAATCCTTTGCGGAACCCTGCTTGCTCACATGGTTGTCCTTCATCTAGTGTTCTGCCAATCCTATTTAGGATGACTTGAGTGAACAACTTGTAGATGACAGACAATAGGCAGATCGGGCGATAGTTGCCAATGTCATGGATGTCTCCCTTCTTGAACAGTAGTATGGTCCTGCTGGTTTTCCATTGGGACGGAACCTTGCATTCAGACAGGTAGCGAGTGAAGAGCCGAGCCAGTGTATTGATGAGTACTGACGGCAGGTTCTTCAGGTGTTCAGGTCTGACCTTGTCTGGGCCAGGTGCTGTTTGTTTCTTTACCGACGAAATGGCGTGTCGGATTTCGGAAGGGAGAACGTTGGGAACTCCCAGAATGACCACCAACTGGGAACTCTTTGGTACTATTGCAGCAACATGGGAAGATGCCATTGTTGACAACATTGACGAGGAATACGATCGACTGGTTCAGCACCTCCATGAATGTGCGAGGAACGCCAAGAGAGAGATAGCCACAAAAAAATCGCCTATCTTCGAAAACTCTTGAGCTAATTCGCCAGCGTGGTTTGGCGCATGCCTCAGGCAACCACAAGCTAACATCTGAGCTCGCAAAGCAGTGCAGAGATGCGATCAAGGAAGACATCAAAGAGAGAAGGGCAGAAGTACTGGTAGATGCGGCAGAAGCTGGGAAAAGTATTCGTAACACCCGCCTGTCCTTTGCCAACTATAAGACCAAGATGACTGCCCTCCGACGTCCTGATGGATCCATCACATCCTCCAGAACGGCAATGGAGAAGATTATCCATGACTTCTACTCAAATCTCTTCGATAGCCATGTCCACTTGCCGACATACCAAATTCCACAGGATGGATATGTCGTTCCCAACGTTCTCCCTTCCGAAATGGGGATTTAAGGTCAGAAAAAGATCTCTGAGTCTTGGCCGCTGATGGGATTACACGGCGCCAGGGGGCCAGGTGGTGGGTGTGACCCCCGCCTACTGGAATTTGGAGGATCTGGGTGGAAGATGCTCGACTCCAATTCGAGTAGGCTTGGAGGTCTCGGCCCCGGAACCCGCGTGGCTTTGTCCCTCTGCCAGTACCTTCATGTGTGCGGAGAGTGGTCTCAGCATGGTGGTGGCTGGTCCTGGAGGTCTTCGGCTGCCGGAGCCCTGGTCGGGGCGGGGAGGAAAGCTCAACCCGCTCCCCTCCAAGGGGCTCCGGGAAGGAACACCCAGGCGCGGGGGCAGAAGACTGCACTGTTCTCGTCCGGGATCTGGATTTTATAGTCTCTGAGTCTTGGCCGCTGATGGGATTACATGGCGCCAGGGGGCCAGGTGGTGGGTGTGACCCCCGCCTACAGAGACTATATAAAATCCAGAGGAAGGATCATCAGCTAAAATCACCATGAATTGACAAGAATGCTGAAGGCAGTGACAGGCGGCCAGGAGCTAAAGTCATCAAGAAACAAATTGTGACCTAGAGGCTCAGGAGTGCAGCCCGATGACATAAGATTCAAAGGTGGGGGGTTTTAGAGGAGAGTGGTGAAAAACGGTTGGCACTGGGAACAAGAAATGAAAAGGGCCAAGAACATCTGGTAGTAGGAACATGGAAGTGAAAAACATTTCAGAGGGTGCTTGGGGACACACTCAAGGGAGAGGCAGGTTTTGATTAGGGCAAGAAGGAACCGGCAAGGCTCAGTGATGCTGAGTACATAGGGAACCTTGCTGACTATTCATTTCAAAGAGCAGACCAGAAGTTTTCAGGAGTTGGAGGCAACAGATACGTACTGAAAGAGGAATATGCATATATAGAGAGGATTAGTCTTGCAGGATATTATCCTGGAAATTCAGGGTTCCTTGCGTAGATAGTTCAGTGCACACTGAGAATGTTCTGATAGTCTCAGACTGGTAATGCTCAGAAAGAAGAGTTGGAAGACACTAGGCAGATATACTGGATCTGGAACCCCTTGGAGAGGCATGGAGGTTGAAGGATGGCTGGTCTGACCTGGAGTTGGGAGTGTCCTCTTACCACAGAGAGAAGGCATGGGATCCCAGGCTTTCATTCTGACGTTTACTTGAACTTATTTCTTTCATGACTTTGTCCTTTTTCCCTACTGCCTGAAGTGCTAGATGACCTACAGTGGAATTTTCTTTACCTTTTTGTTATACTTTTTGGGTTAATCCCTTAACTCTAATATTCCAAAACTTATACCAAGTGTCTCATTTATGATGCAGACTTCTAGTTTTCAAGAATTTTTTTGTTTGTTTCTTTGTACTCTATCAACCAATGGGACTTCCTGGATGCCAAAAACGTCTTGAAGCATGGGATAAGATTCATGTCTCCAAAGTGGCCCAAGTAGTCTATTTCCCATGCTTCAAGCTCTTTCACATACTTGGCTATATATTTAAAATGAAACATTAGAGGCCTACCATCCTTGTCTGCCACCATATCGCCTCACTCACAGGTCCTGCTCCACCAAATCCTGACTAAAGCTCCCAGGAGATGCAGGACAAGCAGCTAAAACTTATGGAATTGCCAGCCCAACAGCTGAAAATCCCAGAGCACCCACGGGAGGCTGGTGGGTGAAACACACGCCAAACCAAGGCTCCACCCCCAGCACTCACTCCCCACAACTACAGCTACACCAAGGGCAACTCCACCACCCCACAAATATTTTCTGCAGACACCAACCTCCAAATTATTTCAGGTACTGGCAACTGGGCTGAGAACTCTGGTGATTTTCTTTTTTTGGACTCGGGGTGGGTAGCCTCTCCCCCACCCCCCATACTTCCAGAAGCCCTACCACCATGCACGTTTGCCGTCCTATTGACTCTTTGACCCAGACCATGAATCTGGAAATGTCTGGACTACACCACCATGTGACACTTCCTGAAGCAACAAAAAGCTTCATAAATTCTTAGACAAGGACTTACCAACCAACCATGCAATCTGATACAACTGTTCACGTAAATTTATTTTCTAGAGCTGTTGATATTAATAATGCAACTTTAATCAATTTTAATCCTAGAATTGTATTAACAGTTGCCCCCTTTTTTCTACATTAAATAAAACAGAGCATTTAAAAAGCTGACTTGACCAACTAGTATGGCATTGCCACCTGACCACCAAAAACACCATGGTCAGTATCACTGAGAATGGTCCTGAGGCTCCAAGTATTGTTTGGGGAGCCCTCCACCCAAAATAAGACTGGGTAGAGGTTGTATATGGAGTCTGAACTTCTCTGAACTATTTTTAATTTAAAAATCTTAAAGATGTCAGGATCACAATCTTTTTTTGTTTTTTTGCAATTACACCCAGCGATAGTCAGGGGCTACTCCTGACTCTGCACTTATGAATTAGTTCTGGCAGTGCTTAGGGGACCCCATGAGATGCTGGGGAATCAAGCCTGGTCAGTCATGTGCAAGCTCATGTGCCTTACCCACTAACTACCACTCCAGTCCCATAGGATCAGTCTTCTCTTGATCAAGACTCCCAAAGAAAGTTCTGATAACCACCAGTCTAGAGAGTCAGTCAGTCTAGATGACAACATTCTGGATAACAGGGTAAAGGAGAACTTATTCAGTATAGTATCCTTGACCTCAAAAATTCCCATTTCACTATTTCAGAAAATAAGGAGAAGTGACCTGAGAATCTAAGTGCTTCTTAAGTCTTCCTCCCAATTATCCTATTCCCAACCACCATCTACTCTCATAGATGAATCTTTAGTTTCTGAAGCACTAATGGGAATTCTGTTTCTTCCAATGCGATTCAGGATTCATCTTTCTCAATTCTATTAAAAGTTACAATTCTTCCACCTGTCAGGGAGTTTGCAAATTTATGCCTTTTCAACGCCACTAAAAGGCTTTTGGGAGATTTTTCCATTTTAATCTTGCACTTACTCATACACTCTTTTTATTCCCAGAAACCAGTTTTTTTTTGGGGGGGGAGTGCAGGGAGGAGGGGGACTGGGGAAGGGAAGAGGTGTGGGTATATGGCAGGGCTTACTCCTGGCTCTATGTTCAGGGATCATTCCTGGTGGAATTGGAGCACCATATGGGATGCTGTGGATCAAACCTGGGTCGGCTGCATGTAAGGCAAGTGCCCTACCCATTCGACTATCTCTCCAGCTTCCTCAGAAAACAATTTTGGAGCCTTGTTCCAGTTCCTCAGAGTTGATTTTTTTATACTGTTGCTCCTATTTATTAAGTTGCAAAATTTATATTCATAATTCAACCAAAACAACAACCTCAAAAATAAATACCTAGAAAACAAAATGTAATAGCCGATGCTGTAGTAGCCACATAGAAAGACAAAATGCCCACCAAGAAAAGTTTAAGCAGATGGAACAAAGAGGAACACAATAGTATATTCTTAGGAAAAAAAAAGTTTAAATAAACAAAATACCAAAATAAGGTATTAAGAGCAAAGCTAAAGAGAAAAAAATCTTCATTTTTAAAGAAGAGACTGTCAAACTAGGCAAATGTTTGCCTTTCCTGCATACTTTATTTTTTCTTGGTTGCCAAGGATTGAGCCCAGGGTCTCATACATGAATAGAACATGCTCTATCACTGAGTCATACTCCTAAAAAATATCCATACTACTCTTTACTAGTTTTTTTGCATATCTTTTGCGGAAACATATGCAATCCCCAACAATCTCTGCCAAGGGCAATACAAATTCATTTGCATTAATATATTACTTTAGTCCACTAAACTGGCACAAAATCCACTGAAGAATGTATATTCCAATTCTCAAATCCCATGAACAATGTATGCCTCTCCCATTTCCCCCTGGTTGTTTCTGTCTAGACACCATGGCCCAATACAGGGATAGACTCACTCCCAAACTGTCTCACACAGCAATGTGCCCACTTTCAACACTAGCAGCACCACGGTGCAGACAGTCATTGTAGATCAGATGGAAAGGGACTGATGCATTTTATACTCAGGAAAGGAGAAAATATGAAAGTATGGCCTTTAAACATGGTATCTGTGAGGCCAGTAGCCCCATGGGCAAGCACATGTTCTGCATGTGGGAGGCCTGGTTTGATCCTCTGGTACCACCCAGAGCAGCTCCCAAGCACTGAGCTGGAAATATCCCCAGGAAGCAACACTGGGTGTGGCTTCAAAATAGAAAGAGAAAGAGAAAAATTCATCTGAAACAAGTATAAAACATGTGAGTAAAAAAAAATGTGTGTGTTCAAATTAGGTTGGGAATTTGCTAAAAGCCTTCAGTCAAAAGCTAAAGTCAATGCTCAAGACGGGTGAGAAGGGGTCAAAATAAAGGGAGGAGGCTTGACAGTAGGAGAAACAGCCTGCAGGACGTGGACTACTTGGAGAGGTGAAGAACCGATTCCAGACGGGGGAAGTAGCATGAACAGTGGCCCAGATGTAGGAAGCAGCAGAGCATGTGCAAAGGTCAATGAAGGCACGGCCACAGCTGGAGCAGAGCACGGACTCTGGACTGGAACAAGAGGGCAGGCTGAAGCAGGACACTGAGGACTGTCTGGGCGTGGCTCACGCTTCTTGATGGGCTTCTTTACCACAGGGTGCAATTTCTGATGCTGAACAAAACTGCCGTACCACTTGAAGGCTTTCCCACACACCTTACATTCGTAAGGCTTCTCTCCGGTGTGAACTCTCTGATGGTGAATGGAGGCGATCTTCTGAGTAAATGCCTTGCCACACTCTTTACACTGGTAGGGTTTCTCCCCAGTATGAATCCTCTGGTGGACCACGAAAAGCGACCTACAACCAAAAGCCTTCCAACAATCCTTGCACTTATACAGTTTCTCCCCTGTGTGTAACCGCTGGTGCTGCAGGTACTCGGCGCTTCTTCGGAAGGCCTTTCCGCATTCCTTACATTCATAGGGCTTCTCACCAGTGTGGATCCTGTGATGCTGAGTCAAGGCCGTGTTGGAACTCAAACCTTTGCCACATTCCTTACATTCATAAGGCCCTTCTCCAATATGATTCTTCTCATGAACAATACAGTCATAGCTGGATTTGAAAGCTTTGCCACATTCTTTACATTTGAAGGGCTTTTCTCGAGTGTGGCTCGCTTGATGCCGAATAAGTTTTGAGTTATATCTGAAGATTTTCCCACATTCTTTACATTCATAGAATTTCATTCCACCTCGCAGGATCAGATTCGGATTCAAACTGAACGTCTGCCACGTTTCCTTGCCAGCAACATTTCTGAAGACTCCTTTTACTGGCCTTCTGGGCAAGTCTGTTTCTCTAGAGGCTTCCTGCTTCCTAGTTGGCTCTTCTTTGTTGAGCTGGGATTCAGCTATCAAAAAAACCACAGGTTAGTTACTGAACTGGAAAAGAAACAGGATCCAGTGATCCCAATTTTCTCTTGTAGAATATGGCTTTTCTCTTAACTGTATAGCCAAGAAATGGCTACAAGCATCCATAAGGGAGGATAAACTTTGTGTATAAAAAGTATATATGCAAAATGCAATCAGCAGAAACTGTACTTCAAAATTAAATTTTTGAAATCTTTTCCCAGGGTATATGCAGCACTGTTATTTTCATGATGCTGGCTTGTTTAGCACACCACAGCAACTAGTGAGCCATGCAGTCATGAAAGCACACTTCAGGGTGTACTGTGTTGCCTACACTTTCAATGCATGGTATTTTCCAGTAAAAATTAGTTTGGACACTCGGACATGACCCCGTCAAGTTGAGGAAATGTATGTGGTAACTACAACTAAAGAAGAGATATTACTGTAAACAGGTTGGAAAAGGAGACACAGTCGTGCCTTGTATAAGAACCGAGAAATAGTCTACAGTTGTTGAAATGGGCAAAAGAACCACCCCTGGGCTGGAGCAACAGTACAGCGGGTAGGGTGCTTGCTTTGCATGCAGTGGACCTGAGTTCAATCCCCTGCCCCCCATATGATCCCCTGAACCCACAAGGAGTGATATCTTTGAGTACAGCCAGGTATAGCCCCAAACCAAAACCAAAACAACAACAAAAGAACCTCAAAAGGAAAATGAAAGAAAGTGGCAGGGAGGAGAAGAGTGCGAAAGGTAATAAAAGCAAAAATCGCAGTGGGGAATGCCTTCTGCTGCTAGGAATTTGTCTTGCCCAGTTGGAGCCAGAATTATCTGGGCTTAGAGAGTACAGCACCACTTTGTAAATGAGGAAGTTTGTTTTCTGCTGCAGAAGAAAGATTTCTGGAAAACAGTGAAGGCAAAAGGCTTTACAGAAACCTCTAGGTTCTCTGACTTACCTGGAGAAATGTCTTTCAAAACCTCTGTTTCCCAGGGGTCTGGGCCGCATGGTGCTTCTCCTTTCTCCAGTTGCAAGATTAGAACAGGTTTGGGAAAAGGAAATGCTGCTCCAGCAAGAAGTAAAGGAAAGACAAGTTGAAAACATCTAGAGCTATTCCTCTGCCCTCTCTCAGCTCCTTCCCTAACAAGCTAGGTGAGGAGAGAAATGGAATGCCACGACAATCAAGCAACCTGCCCAGGGATTCCACTCCAGACAAAAGATGAGGAGATAGTAACTCTGTCTGGGAAGAAACTGCAACTTCACCCTGATTTAGAAGAAAGGAAATCCCCTAGGAAAGTGTATGTACTGATATCCTAGAGACTACTCCAGGGAGAGGAGGCCACTATACCCACATACTGGAAGGACAGAGGTACAGAGGGTTCAGCTAGGGCATGAGAGAGATTTTCTCTAGGAGCCCAGAAACATGCCTTCCCTGGGACTATGACCAACTTCAAAAAACCAAAACTGAGCTAGGACTGCCCCAACCCAAATCTCCAAAGGCTGCTAAGTACAAAGTTTCTTCTGGATTCTAACAGTCTAACCTAAGACTGTTACATAAGGTCCAAATCATCTGAGGAAGGGGCTGGAGAGACAAGTGGCAGAGCACTTGCCTTGCATGCAATTTGATCCCTGACACCCCATATGGTCCCCCAAAAGAGATCCCTTTAGTGCACAGCTGGTGTGGAGAAAATAAATAAATAAAATAAACGAACAAAGATTTTGAAAAAACCCACAAAACATTTGAGGGAGCAGCAAATTGTTAAAAGGGGTACTGAGAGAGAACTTACCCAGGGTAGTCACATAATTTGCATAATTCTCCAGCATCACCTCCTTGTACAAGGCCCTCTGGGACAGGTCCAGGCTGGCCCACTGAGTTTGGGTGAAGAACACAGCCACATCTTCGAAGGTCACTGGCTTCTGAAACAACAGGTTCAACCTGAGAGCACAGTCTGCAATTCCTAAGGCCCTGGAGGGTCTGGTCAAGCAGGAAGAGGACACTCTTTGAGTGATTCCTCTGACACCAACCTCCAAATACTCTTAACCTCCCATATCCTATCACCTTTTTTGGGTTTATTTTTTTTCCTGGGCTGGGGTATGGGGGCCACAGCTGATGGTGCTCAGGGCAATTTCTGACTGTCGGCTCAAAAGCGACCTCCCTCTGGCAGTGCTTGGGGGATAATTGGTGGTGTGGGGGATTGAACCCAGGGTCAGCTGCACAAAAGACAAAGACCTTATCTCCTGTACTATCTCTTTGACCCTCTACAGCTGTGTTTCCAATTGCAAAAACTTGGAAGCACTAGTGATGCCCTTCAGTAAGTGAATGTACATCTGGACAAGGATGGATAAGTAGACAGACAGACAGATAGATATTCAATTACAGTAATAAAAAAAAAGTTATTCACAAAAATAAGTATTATTTAGCACCACCATGCCATGAGAAGATGAGGAATCTTAAATGCATATTACTATATCAAAGAAATCAGTTTTGAAGGGCAGCGTGACCTACACAGACATTTTAGGAAAACAAAGTTATGTTAAAAAGAACAATGGCAAAAAAAAAAAAAAACAATGGCACACTAGAAAGTACAGCAGTGAGTCACCCCAAGGTGCTCGTGGAAGACTCTCCACAGCAATAAAAAATAAAGTAGAGGGATGAACAGGCTGAATACAGAGGTTTGTTAGGTTGGTAACAGTCTCGATACAACAGTAGACACGCCACCATTCATTTCCTAACCCACAGAATGAACCCAAATGCAAACTATGGACTTGGGATAACTGTGTTAAAGCAGTTGCGTTAAAAGCATCACCTTAATAGGCTGAAAAGATAGCACTGCAGGTAGGGCCTTGCACACGGCCAACCAAGTTCAAATCCCTGGCACCCCATATGGTCCCCTGAGCACCACCAGGAGTGATCTCTGAGCAACGTCCAGGTGTGACCCAGCCCCTCTCTCGCCCCCCCCCCCCCAAAAAAAGAGAAATCATCTGAAAAGGGCACAGAGAGTTCAACAAGCTGGATGAATCACATGCTTTGCCTGCAGGAGGCCCAGGTTTGATCCCCAGTACTGCAGGAGTTCCCCAAGCACTGCTGGGAGTGAACCCTGGGCACAGAGCTAGGCGAAACCCATGAGCACCACCAGGTGTGGCCCCAAAACCAAAAGAAAAAAAGAGAGAAGAAAAAAAAGAGAGACCTTGTTTCTACAGATTCTTGACCCGCTTGCCCTCCTCTTCAGTCTATTCCTAGGTCTATAGCTAGTGACCTGCTCTGGGCTCTTGTGAACAGCACGTGAGACTCTCACGCTAACCACTGACGCCCTTCAGTGTTAGAGCTCTTTTTATGGGACAGCCCATATTGGTATATCACTTGCTGGTTGGTACAACAGTAGACATGCCACCATTCATTACTGTTGGTACAACAGTAGACATGCCACCATTCAGCCCATATTGGTATATCAGAAACAGGAACCTCTGCTTTTTGGACAGCACCCCTTCCCAGTCTTTTACACTGCCCTTCCTCCTCTATATTATTCAACTCGCAGATCCCCTAACACTGTTATTTAGTGATCTGGGTTTAGGTATATCATCTTCCCACTCCATGCATGCTTCTAAGATCAGACTACTCATTGATCTGCTCACATATGCCCAATCACACAGTACAGGTATATGATGGACAAACAGAAATTCCCAACTGCTATAACTGTCACACCTCCCTTACAGTCGCCAGATACCTCCACCCCCTTAGCTATTTCTGCTTAATGACTTGTTTATGGGACCAGCCAAATAGATGGGAGTGTGAGGAACTAATTGAATAAGGCTTGGAATATCTAGCCCTGATCCTTCATGGTTTCTTCCTAACGAATAAGTCTATTTTTTTCTTTAACAGGTCAAAACTTTGCAATTCTGAAAGGGCCCAGGTAATGCTGATGTTGCCCATCTGTGCGATTACTTTAGAAAAGCCCTGTACACTGCAACATCTAATTATAGTATTGACTTATTTATATACTTCCTGCATAGCCTATCTTCTCTGAGAAAAGGGAATTTGTTTCTGTTATTCAATACCATCAATACCATGCACCTTGAACGTGCACAGGAAAAGGACAATGTTGGTTTCTCTGAGATGCAGGTGCAATTTGTGGACAATCTCTTTAGTGAAGAATTTCTTTCATCCCAGTGGGATCCCTTCATTTGTAGAACTCCACCTCCAGGGAGAATTTCTTGGCTTGGGTCCCCTGCCTTTTCTCCCACCCAAACCTAGATTTCGAAGCTCAAGTTCTCTATACAGACTTGGGCAAGGAATTGGGCGTCACCAGAGGGGCTCAGGATGGCTCTGTGCTCAGGCATTACTCCTGGCGGCAAGCGGGGGACTATACAGAGGTGATGGGAATCAAATCTTGATTGGCCACGTGCAAGGTAAACGTCATACCACACTGTACTGTTTTCTCTGGCTTTATTTGTAACTCTTTAGTTCCTCCACCGGCACAGCCCTGCGGAGGCTCGAAGAAGAAGCCATAGCCTGGCCAAGAGATCCTTTATTGATTACCCGAGAGTTACTGTGATTTCAACAAAGACTGAACGGAATCTCAGCTCACCTGGGGCCAAGTTGCTTGGAGCATAACTGCTGTCCCTTGGCTTCGGGTACTGTCCTCTGGGCTTGGTAAAACCTTAGAAGCTAGGAGAAACAGAGCCATGAGTGCACTGGGCCCTCTGTCACCCACGCATCCCCGTGGCCTCAGTCTCCCGCTGCCCAGCCCTGACACAAAGCTTCAGGGGGGCTGCACTCCGGGACTGCTGGCCCTGCACGCTCACGAATTGCTACTGCTCAAGACCATCCTCCGCCTGCCTGTGCAGTGCCAGTTCTCCCGAGCCCGGTCACCTGGGGTGGGCTGCGAGATCCAAGACACCTCTGACCCCTACCGTGTCGGATCTCCACCACCGGGAGAAGGGGCGGGGGGGGGCGGGGGTCTGCGGATCAAAGGTAAAGCATTCGGGGTTCCAGCGGGTGGCACCGACCGGGATCTGCACCCCGAGCTGCAGGACGTCAGGAGCAAGCACGGGAGGGCAGTGGGGGAAAAAGTTCCCTCGTTAAGGGCAAGAAGATCGCACCTAAGCGGGCAAGGGGTTCCAAGGCCGCGCAGCAGCTGCGCAGCTTCAGGAGGGCCCCGGTGGCCCGAGCTTCTGGATACGGGGAGGGAGCGCTGACATGCCGCCCGGGAAAGCGAGTCACGCCAGAACCCAGCCGACTGTGGCATTGCACTTCCAAGTTCTTCCTCCCCGCAACGCGGGAAACTTCCGTTAACCAGCCCGGCGCGGGCGACGCCTCTCTAGGCCGCCGGAGGCACTCGGCTCGATGATACCCGCGGCCCGTCCCACGTGGCTCAGTCCGAAGCCGGAAGGGGCGGGCCGATCTGCTTGGTGACAGTGCGCGGGGCTTCCGGGTTTCTTCCGGGTTGGCGCCTGCATCTGCTCTCCCGGGGCGCTGGGGCTCAACCTGCTCGGACCAGCCTGGCTTCCCCGGACACCTGGAGCTTTGGGCAGTGCTGGCGTGTGCAGAGTGGTTTCGAACTGGACTTCTCCTAGGGGTCCGATCCCGGGCTCCTACCTGGATCCTTTTGTAATAGACGAAGTAAAGAGGAAGGGACCGTATCGGGAGGAAACCGTGAAGGAGGGTCCGGGCCCCGAGGGTACCCAAAACAGAAGAACGTGAGGGAGGGGCTGGATCGTCCAAGCCTTCTGTTAGTTCAGCATGCAGATCTAATTGGCTGGTTCCAAAGGCCAGTTGAATAGAAATAACTAAGAGGCGAATTCACTGCCCACTGTAGGGGAGGAGTTACAGTTAACAGTAGAGGGAAATTTAGTCCATCATGTACTTCCTCTGATTGCGCATACGCCAGATCGCTGGCCACTCTGATCAGAAATAAGCAAGGTGCAGGAGACTCTATATATACACAATAAATCCCCAGGTCTCTGTTTATTCACTAGTAGGAGAAATGTACGTGGAAGACTGGAGAAAGGAAAGTGGTGTGAGAGAGCTGCTAGAAGTATGTCTGCGGTCAGATATGCCAACGTGAGCTGTTAAAAAACTGTAGTTGGCCAAGAGCTCCAAAAGTCATTGTGATAGTCTTACACTGTACTGAGGAGTCCTTAGGAAAACTACGGTTTCTCTCAGCCATCCTTACCCACTCCTTCTTAATCCTTCCCACTGCCTAAAACCAGTGTATTGGGACCCTTTTAACAGAGTCATTTAACCAAATGGCACCAGAAGTGGCCAGCCATCCTGTGGATGCAGGATATGCCCTTCATTTTGTCCTGTGTTACTTTGGCAGAACCCTCTTAATTGTCCCGTGACATCCAAGGTGTTCTGCTGAGCTTTTTCCAGTAAGTTTATCAAATTCTCATTTAGACATCTCTTTCCTCTCAGTAACTGGTGATAAAGTGTCAACTCTAGCTGGGGCCAGGGGTGGGTTGGAAAAGAAGCATATCTCCACAAAGAATAGTAATTCCTTATAGTCTCTCCTGAGGAAAGGAGAAAGAGTCAAAAGATTTTCAAATTTTCATATTCAAGAATAACAAAAACTGATTTTTGCCAGTCTCAAATCACAATATGTTAACTGACATTTTCACAACCTTGGATCAATACAATTGCTCTGAAAATTAGCCAGTGAGAGACAGATTTATTTCCATTGTTCCCCATAACCAGCTGTGCTTTTGAAAGTTAGCAAAGAGCCTCAGCTTCTGATCAGTGACATCCCCCTCTGCCCACCCCACTACCCCCAATCAGTGGTAGTCTAAAAACAACCAATTAGCAAGAACCTTGCAACAGCAACCCATGGTTCGAAGAATTACTGAACTAGCAAAATGATTGCCAATAATGGGGCAGAGTGATACTACGGTAGGTAAGGTGTCTTGCCTTACACACGACTGACCCGAGTTCTGTATCCGGCATCCCTTATGGTCCCCTGAGCCCACCAGGAGTGATCCTTGAATACAGAGCCTGAGCACCACCAGATGTGGCCCCTCAAACATCAAAAAATAATAAAACGCTTTGACCAGTGTGTTCATCAAACAGTTCCAGGCACCTGGCTTTTTTCACTAAGCACTTCTGCACTATAAGGGAGTACTATTGTACAACATAATCCCCAGGAAACAGCAATAAATGTCTCTCAAAGTTTCAGTAGGTCAAGGATTTAGGAGTGTCTTGGCTGAAAGGAACCTGCCTGGAGTCTCTCTAGAAGTTTCCTCAGATGTTACTGGGGGCTGTACTAATCTGGAAGCTGAGGTAGGATGATTTGTCTCCAAGCTAGCTCAGTTACATGACTTGCAAGTTTGCACTGACTGTTGGTGTGTAATCATCAAGGTGTACAACACCACTATCTAACTCAACTACTGCAGAGAAAGTTTGAGTTTACTCATTACACACACACACACACACACACACACACACACACACACACACACACCACAGAAAGGCCACTGGATTATGAACTGCTCCACCAGTGCCTTTTGGTGGGTGGTGAGGGGGAGGCAAAGATGAACATATAAAGAAATCTTGGAAGAAACAAGGCCTTCCTAATTTGAGGGTGTTTAATACTCTGATCTCAGAAATCATAGATTCCAGAAGAAAACAATTTGGCCAGAAAAGACATTTATTACACACTGAAATGTGAAAACCAGATAAGCAGGTGGGAGAGTGAATCTTTACTACCTATAAAGTTATCTCAATAAACTTGAACAAAACCACAAGGATGTAATGTTCACCAAACACAATGCCAAGTTAACAATACAATGTGCTTAAGAAAAAGCACATTAAAAGTTGCTTAAGAAAACTTAGGGACCAAAGTGATAGTACAGCAGATAGGGAACTTGCTTTCAATGTGGCCGACCCAGGCTTGATTCTTGGCACCTGATTTGGTCCCACCAGGCATGATCCTGAACTGCACAGCCAGGAGTTAGTCCTGTGTACTGCTGGGTGTGGCTCCAAAACAGCAAAATTTAAAAATAAAAATTAAAAATAAACATTGACATTCTCATCTCAAAGGACCAGGTATGTAGCTCAGTGGAAGAGATCAAACCTTGCATGAGTGAGGCAGTGGGCTCAAAAGAAAAAGAAGTCCTCATTACAAGAAAAAGTCTAATGATGTATGGGGCTGGATGTTAGCCAGAAGCACTGTGGTCAGCATGCTACACAAGAATGGAAACATTGTGCTGTTAATCCAAAACTGTTTCATGCCCATTATACCTCAATAAAAACTAAAACTTTGGTTTGGAGCAATAGTACAGCAGGTAGGCCATTTGCCTTGCAACAGCTGATCCAGATTCGATCCCCAGTATCTCATCTGGTCCCCCAAGCACCATCAGGAGTAACCCCTGAGCATTGCTGGGTGCAACCCAAAAAGGAAAAAAAAAACTCAAAATTTGGGACCAGGAGATAGCTCAGGATGGAGCACATACGACACTGTTTAAAACTGCACATATAAAGGTAAAAGGTAAAGGTAAAGGCCCTCCCGTTGATCGTCGATTTGCTCGAGCGGGCCCAGTAACGTCTCCATTGGAGACTTTGTTGTTACTGTGTCTGGCATATCCAATACTCTCGGTAGCTTGCTAGCACAGCGGGTAGGGTGTCTGCCTTGCACGCAGCCAACATGGCCGACCCGAGTTCGATTCCTCCGCCCCTCTCGGAGAGCCCGGCAAGCTACGAGAGTATTCGATATGCCAGACACAGTAACAACAAAAGTCTCCAATGGAGACGTTACTGGGCCCACTCGAGCACATATAAATCAGGGATAATAATGGTACTGAAGCAGGGATTGATCAGAGACATAAATGATCTAACCTGTGAAACTCCAACCACAGAGAAGGGGGGAATCTTTCTAATACAGTAAGAAATCTATAAACCTTGTGCACATACTTTTAGGAAGCAACAATGTACATGTCATTTTCTTGCTGGATTCCCAAATAAAGTATCTTCCCATCTTGCTGCACTTATTGAAGCACTAATACTAAACAGATTCAGATTCTCCAACCATTTGACAAAATAGAGTCAAATCAGTGATGTCATGTAGGGACCAGAGATAGTACATGAGTTAAGATGCTTCCCTTGTATGCTGCTGACACTGACTCAAATCATGAAGCCATGTGGTTCCCCTGTGACCCCCACCTAAGGGATCACTTCTAAGTTAAGAGCCAGTAATATTCCCTGAGAAATCTGGGTATGGCCCAAACTAAAAAAAATTAACATCTGGCAAGATCAGCATCCTTAAACGCTTTGGTTTTAGTACAGTAGTTCATTGTAAAATTAATGCAGAATTTACTACCCCTCACAAATTAATATTTAATCTAGGAGGTATGGAGTAGTCCTAAAACTCAGGAAGGGGGTGGAAAATGTATTGTGTATGAATGGTAACTGATAGCAACTGACAGAAAGAAATCCACTGAGGGAGGAGTTTCGGCAAATTAGGATTGGGTTTTTCTGCCATCTGGTGCTCCCCAAGTGACGCCAACATCTGGAAGATTATTATACCCAGGCACCTTTTAATACTTACGTATTTAATTGAACACTGAAAGTAAACAAATGGGCAGGTATAGAAAACATTTCCAAATAGAAAAGACATTACATTTGACCCTGTAATGGAAGTTTTAAAACATACTTTTACAATATTGCTATCAATGCCATCTCATCACCTCATATTCGTTTCAGCGATGATTTCCCTGGCCAGCTATTTGGTTATGCAGGATCCTTATTAGGGTTCAGATTCCCCAGTGAGTTTTGCTACTGGCACCGAGGGGGGGCTCTTTAGACGTCCCAAAAGCATCATTACCTTCTCTGAGTATCTCCTTTCTGCAAGTCTCCAGTTTCTTATATTATTACTGCCTGTTTCATTGTAATGTCATTCTAAAACCCAAAACCTTCTGCAGACTCTTCTAAGGCTAATGGAAAAGGCAGGTGCAGATTAAGAGTGTTGGCCCAGAATGGGTAGACACTCCCACTTTTTGCCCAAGGATAGAAGAGAGTAAGTAATTAAGCACAGTTCTTAAAGTGTGAAAACTTACCAGGAAGCTGGAATATAACAGTGACTTCCACAAGACCAGAAGGGTCACACTAAAATGATCAGGAGTCAGTGAAAACTGGTACCCCAGGGAGCAGGTGTATGCAACAGCTCAGAAGGACGTAAGAGCCCACCCAGGCCATGGGGGGATGACTTCTCAGAAGCAAGGCTCGGGAAGAAAAGTGCTATATTTGGACAGGAGAACTGACCCTTCCAGGTAAGGGGAGCAACAGGAAGAGCGGCAGAGAGAGAGGAAGCAGCACTGCGTGTGAAGCTGACGGCGGGGACCCGGGCAAGGCTGGGGCAGAGCATGCATACTGGGGAGCCTGAGACAAGGGGACTGAAGCAGGACAAACAGATTTGCCGGGGGGAGGTCCTACAACTTCAGGGGCTTTCTTCCTCATATGTAATTTCTGGTGCTGAATGAAGCTTGCGTTCCACTTGAAGGCTTTCCCACACACCTTACACTCGTAAGGTTTCTCCCCAGTATGAACTCGCTGATGCTGAATCAGGGTGATTTTCTGGTTGAAGGCCTTCCCACACTCCTGGCACGCAAAGGGTTTCTCCCCAGTGTGGATTCTCTGGTGTACTGTAAAGTGTGAGCTACAGCTGAAGGTCTTCCAACAGTCGTTACATCTGTAGAGTTTTGCCCCCGTGTGGAACCTCCGGTGCTGAACAAATGCCCAGCTCCCGTGGAAGGTCTTCCCACACTCTTTACATTCGTAAGAGGTGTCCCCCGTGTGAATTTTCTGGTGGCGCATCAGGACGGAATTCAAACGGAAACTCTTGCCACACTCCTTACACTCGTAAGGCCTCTCCCCCGTGTGGATTCGCTCGTGGAGGAGGCAGTCGTGGCTACACCGGAAGGCCTTCCCGCACTCCTTGCACTTAAAGGGCTTCTCGCCGGTGTGGATCCGCTGGTGCAAAGTGAGTTTTGAGTTGTAGCGGAAGGTTTTCCCACAGTCCTTGCATTCGTAGGGCTTCTCTCCACCATGGACTTTCTGGTGCTGCCGGAGGTGAGAGTTTTGGCTAAACGTCTGCCCACACTCCTGACACAAGTACGGTTTCTCCCTGGTGTGGATTTTCTGGTGACGTGACAGTCTGGAGTTGTATCTGAAGGCTTTACCACATTCCTCGCATTTGTACGGCTTCTGCTCAGTGTGGACTTTCTGATGTCGGTGAAGGTCGGAACGCTGGTGGAAGCACCTGCCACACTCAGCACATTTATAAAAGGCCTGCTCTCTGGAGAGGCCCTGCTTTGAAAGGAGGCCCATTCTGACACCACCACTGCCTTCTGATGCCTGGGCTCCCTCCACTCTTCCACCAGTGGCGGGTTGATGAGCCCAGGCAGGAGAGTTTGTGAAGCCGCCTCTGCTGGACGCTGCCTTCTTGTCAAATGGCTGAAGCTTCTCTGAGGTGACCTTAGAGTGACGGCTCCAGAAAGCACCCCTCAGTGGCTCCCCCAACGTCAGGCCATGGGGCTCTGACTCTTCAGAAGGGATCTGCTTTATAGTTTGCTCCTCATGCTCAGTCTTGCCATTACCGCCTAGCATGACAAAAAGAAAATAGAAAAGTAACTTATTTACATTAGAAGAGGAAAGCGATTCGAAAGCATTCACTTGTCCTGGACTGAAGTATTTCTTGGAGAAACAGAGCCCCCTGATGGTGCCTGCACACATTTGGTTGGAGCGCCTGCTAGAGTCACAGCTCAGGTTGTACTCACACACCTCTCCGAGTCCTCCATACTGGGAGCCTCCCCCCGACTTGAGGTGGGTGCTTGTACTTGTGCCATCCTCAATAGTGGTGGCACTCCTTTGCTTTCTTGTTGTAATACTCCTGGGTGGCTGTGGTGCTTATGTACACCCGACTAGTGTGGAGGTCAGGAAGATGTTGTGGTGCTGCTGACTCAGAGCACAGACATCGGAGCTGGGAGGAGTAAGCTTGTTGCGTATAGGCAGCACCGGGTATCGAACCTATGACCTCATGCTTGCAAGAGAGCCACTGAACTATCTCCTGACCTCATGTATTTTATTTTCAATTTGGTGGAGGGGGGAGAGGGGTTGGCACCGCACTTGGCAGTGCTCAGGGCTTACTCCTGGCTCTGTGCTCAAGGATCACTCCTGGCAGTGGTAGGGAATCAAACCAGGGTCATTTGCATGCAAGGCAAGTGCCTTACCTGCTATTACTATTGCTCCAGCTCCAGTTTAGAGTTTGGGGCCACCCTTTTTAAAAAAACTTTTAATTAATATTATTATTATTATTATCATCATCATCATCATCATTTGGTTATTGAACCGCACCAGGCAATGCTCAGGGGTTACCTTGTCTCTGCACTCAGGAATTACTTCTGGTGGTGCTCAGGAGACCACATGGGAGCCTGGGGATTGAACCTGGGTCGGCTGCCTGCAAGGCAGAACTCCCTCCCCGCTGTACTGTCACTTGGTGCAGTTTGGGACCATCTCAGCAGTGCTCAGAACCTCCTCCGTGCTCTGCTTAAGAGTTGCTCCCAGCAACTGGGTATATCCCTCATGATTGCTTAGCAGTGATGGCAGTAACCCCTTGTTTACAGAGTAGTTAAGTATTTGGACATGCCTTGCTTGGACCTTAGGATCCACTGTAGTAGACCTTATCTCTCTTTGACATTGTGGAGTTACTTTTCCAGCCCTCTGTTTAGTTTTAGTTTAGAGATCACAAGTGCACATGCGTGCATGCTTCCATGTGTGGGTGCGTGCGTGCGTGCGTGTGTGTTGTATTTACCTAACCTCCAGTTTAGAGCTCGGTCTTGCTAGGTCTCTCCCTCTCTCCTTCTCCTGCCTCCCTGTTTGCAGGCAGGATCGAACTCAGATTTCATGTATGCAAGGCATGCGCGTTACCTCTCAGCCACATCCCTAACTCCTTGAGATACCTTCCCGCACTTTCAGTCCCCTTGCTTCTACTTTGGTTACTGCTTCCAATTTCCACCTACTGCTGTTTCCTCTGCCCTTTCTGTTGTGCGTGTGCGCGTGTGTGTGCAGACAACCCCTGGCCATCACAATGCCGCACCGGGCAGGGCTTACTCCAGGCTCTGCACTCAGGCATCACTTCTGGCAAACTAAGGGGTGGCAGGTATCAAACCTAGATCTGCCGCATGCCAGGCAAAAGCTTTATCTGCTGTACTATCTCTGCAACTAGCATAAGATACTCTTAAAAAAAAAAAAAAAAGTGTCTTAACTTCCCAAAGGCAAGTGACAGAAAGTTCAGTGCTTGAATTAGCTTCTTGACAGCCTACAGCTGAAGCTCCAGGGAGAGTGTTCTGCAAAGAGTGGCCAGGTGACAGAAGCAAACCTTCTTCTAAAGATGAAGAGGAAAAGCCGGAAAGGCAGGTGGAGTTTCTCCCACTCACCTGAGCAGACAGGGCTCGGGACCTCCTCCCAGTCAGGGGCATAGGGGTCAGGGTCCCAGGGTGCTTCCCCTTGCTCCAGCCGCAAGATCAGATCTGGTTTGGGGAATGGATGTGCAGCTGAAAAAAGACAAAACAAAAATGCTGAAAGCTGAGGAAGGTCTGTCTCGAACCCCTCAACCCCCAATCTGCTTTGACAGTGTGAAAGGACACATCTGCCCCGGGGAAATCAGTGAGGTCAGCGTGGAGACCCAGATTCCAGACTCGAGGGGAGGCTCAAACCAGCAGGATTATCACCAGGCTTCTGCTGCTCTCTCTGAGCGAGCACCGAGGCCCCACTGCTGTAGGAGGGCTGCCCCTGGGCGGGCCAAAGGATTCTCTCGTGGAGGACAGGGGGTAAAGTCTTCCCCCAGGAATAAGAAGAAAGTAACAAAGGTGAGGAGAATCTCCTGGGTTCTCTGTGCCCATTCCAATTAAGTCCCTGCTTGGAAACAGGAAGAGGAAATTCCGCTTCTTTCATTTGTGTGCACATGGTTTGGTTTTCAGGACTCAAGGCCAGGAACCCCCGCTCCCCCCCCCTCCTTATAACCTCAGCATCAGAGCCCTGGAGCAGTGTCCTTTTTAAAACCCAAACGACAGCCGAATAGTACAGTGGGTAGGGCATTTGCCTTGCATGCGGGGCAACCTGGATTTGATCCCTGGCATTCCTATGATCCCCCAAGAATGCCATGAGTCACATTCCTGAGTGCAGAGCCAGGAGTGACCCCTGAGCATTGTCAGGTGTGATCCAAAAAAAAAAAAAAAACAAAAACTAACTAAACTAATACCAAACGAACCCAGCTGTTTCTTCATCAGCTACTCCTAAAACTGGGAAAATAATGCACTCATCCAGAGGAGCAACGATTTGGATGCATCAGAGACCCCCAACCCAATAAAGAGGGAGCCAGGAGTCTCAGGGGTGGAAGTAGACAGAAAGGAGGGCTTACCTAAGGAAGCCACGTTCATGTAATTCTCCAGCATCACCTCCCGGTACAGAGCCTTCTGCGAGGCGTCCAGGCTGGCCCACTGAGTCTGGGTGAAGACCACAGCCACATCCTCGAAGGTCACTGACTCCTGAAAGAACAGGTTCTGGCTCCAGCCCTGAAGGTGGAGAGAAGCGGGGAATGTAAGATAACAGTGGTCTGTCCTTTCCGCCTTTCCACAGGGAGCTTAGCTTTACTGGGTTACTCCCATCACAGTGCTCCCATTCCTTTGTGTTTATTTGTATCTTCTTTCTTTGTGCTCTGCTGACTGTAAATATTGCTTTTCGCTCATCCTCTAAGTCCTCTGCATAGTTAATTCAGAGCAATTTCCTTTTTGTATGGACACAAGAAGACAGTTAATGTTATACCTTCATAAGTTGGGAGTTAATTGACTCTGAATGATATTTACCTCCTGGACATCTGTTCTCTTAAGCCTCAGTTGCCCTTACTTCCTAGTACCCAAAAGCAGGGTCTCGATGAGGGACTGGATGGACCAAGGGCAAGCTGTGAGCTATGTGCTACCCATGGGCCTGGCAAAAGTGCCATAATGCTGAACTCTAAGTTAAGAGCATAGTCATGGACAAATGCTGTCATGATCCAAAAAGCAATAACTAGATTCGGACCCTGCTAGGGTTAGGAACGATTAATCCGGCCTGAGCACTGTAGTCTGAGTCTGTGGTGAGATGTTCCCAAGAGAGCCACCCTACAAGCTCAATCTTCCTCTTACAGGGTCCATACAAAATAACTAAAGTTAAGTAGAATTAAGATGTTAAGTTATTGAACTGAAAAGGAGAAAAAAACTGTAAGGGATATTTTGCCTGTGAGCATAGGAAGCGATTTCTTACACTGATTTTGCTACCAGACAGGGTGGACCAGGTGTCAACCCCCAGAGTTGCAGAGAGACCAGGGAGTTGGACAGAGATGAGAGAGAGAGACCAGGGCAGCAGGATGGAGCACGGAGAGACTAGCAAGGGGGACAGCGGGAGTAGAGTGTAGGGGAAGAATGCAGGAGCTGGGGCGTGGAGAGACGAGAGACAGGGCTGCGAGATGGAGCGCGGAGAGAAGAGCGGGAGAGACAGGAGACAGGAATAAAGGGCAGCGTGAGTCTAGAATGGGGGGCTCAGAGGCTCAGAGACTGGAACAGGCGCATGGGGAGAATGGAATAAATGGCAATTGACCAACCAACCGGTTTGGCCCTCGTTTCCTCTTCCTTCTTTCTGCCCATGATATGGGCCGCCCCGGCTGAGGGAGCAGCCTGAGACAACCGAACCCGAACAGTGAGGGGGAGAGCTGCAGGGGCTTCCCTAGCCATCCCGGAGAATATAGGGAGAGGGAGGGGGAGGTTGGCAGAGACCCAAACCAATCACTCTGAACCTCCACGGAGGGAAGGAAAGCTGCTCAGTACCCAATAAGCAGCAGCCCCTGCCAGCATACTCACGGTACGTGCCCCAGGGCCCAGAACTGGCATCCCAGCACGCAGGGATCCCAGAAACCATCTGCCAGATCACACCCTCCCCACCCTCCTCACTCCACCCCCATGGGTCTACTCTGCTGCCTGCTTCCAGGAATGACCAGAACAGGCCCCCACCTCTCACCATACCCCCACCCACCCCAATGCCCCCACAAGGGGCTTCCACTCAGCTTCTCTGGCACTTGCTTCTCCCTATCTGGGGGGCAGGGTCACAGCTGTCTGTGCCCAGAGCTCACTTCTGACAGAACTCGGGGGACCAGTGTAAGTAAGACAGGCATCGAACCCAGGTCAGCCACATACAAGGAGTATCTTACCCACTGTACCATCTCTCCAGGCCCCACTCCCCTTCCACATCTTTATTTCAGACAGAAAAACGAGTCCCCAAGCAGAGAACTCTTTTCACTAAGAAATCTTCCCCCCTTTCAACCATTCATCTTCTCTCCCTTGAGGACTATGCAGTATCATCTCCTCAACATACCTGACTACAGGCACAAGAAGGCACTGTCTGTCCCTGCGGCCAGGGAGAAAGGACAAACAAATGTTATCCTACAGGGGACCATATAGGATGCCAGGGATTGAACCTGGCTTGCCCACGTGCAAGGCAAACACCCAACCCACTGTACTATCACTCTAGCCCCTACCCCTGGCTATTTCAACCTGCTCAAAAAGAAGAAAATGATCACAGGCTGTTTAGGTATCTGTGCACTGTCCTGCAGGCTAGTTTCATACCAATTCACTCATAAGATCACTCCTGGAAAGAATTCACATTCATGGGGCCAGAAAGACAGCGGGCAGGGCACTTGTCTTGCACGTGGCCAATCTCGGGCAGGTTTTCTTGCAAGCAGAGCAGGCTCTTAGCCCTCTTAGCCCACTGAGTTATCTCCCCAGCACTAGGTACTCTTTTTGGCATATGCAGAAGGGGTTGGGCCACACCTGGCTGTGCTCCCTTGGCCATATTCTGCTGATGGATGCATAGGACTGACCACCTCCCTCTGACTGAAGCACTAACCATTTTTACATCTAAATAGGGAAATCTGAAAGGAAGTCAGCTTACCTGGGACCACAATTTCTGCAGCATGGCTGACCACTGGCTTCATGCACGGGGCTCTGGGTGTGGAAAACCAAGAGTCCTGTGGAGCTGCGAGGAGAGAATCACAGTGAAACTGACTTTGGCCACTCAGTTGACAATTTGCTATAAATCTCCCTCAGGAGGCTATACATTTCTATAAAGTATGCCCTTTACATGTCAAGCGTTGCAGTTAGTTCCTGGCTTTATTGATTGATTCTTTTTGTTTGTTTGTTTTTTTGGGGGGGTCACACCCGGCAACGCACAGGGGTTACTCCTGGCTCTGCACTCAGGAATTACCCCTGGCGGTGCTCAGGCGACCATATGAAATGCTGGGAATCGAACCTGGGTCGACCGCGTGCAAGGCAAACGCCCTACCCGCTAAGCTATCGCTCCAGCCCGATTGATTCTTTTATGTGTCCCAAGCATGAACCAGCTCTGGCCACCAACCCAGGCATCCGACTAGGATGAAGGATGGATCACCTGCTTCGTGCCTGACTGGTATAAGCACCTAGGAAGTGTCTCTTTATCCACTGCCAGGGATATTCGTAGCTTTACAAAAAAAAAATTCATAGCAAAGACCCCAGACCCGAGCCAGCCCCCAGGACAAACCACTGGCTTCGGGTGAACTGGCCCCGGGGAGAAGGAGTAAGACAACTCAATGTCTTAGTCCTCGCGGGTGTGACTGATTGCAGACCCAACCCGGATCATCTGAACACTGCAACCCGGGAGCCAGGCGACTCCAAAATATCACCGTCCCCCTCCCTGAGTACCGGGAACCGGTGAATGTGGGCGCCAGCTCTTCGGAAGAGGGGAGAGCCGCTCAGGCCACGGCGGGCAGGGGGCAGGTGCAAGGCCTACCGGGCTGCGCCTGCTGCGTGCAAGGGCCAGAGCCACGAACCCCGGGACGACTAGCTCGACCAGCGCAGCAGCGGGGGCAGCACGAGGTCGGGCGCCGGGCGCCGGAAGCGGGGCGGAGCCGAGCCGAGGCGGAAGCGCAAGCAGACGGCGCCTCTCTAGGAAGCAGGGAGGCTGGCCTTTCTCCATGGTTCCTCCAAGCCGTGTCTGCAAAGCCCACTGGCCACTCGCTGCCTTTGGCTCTTTAGGTAGATGATCCTTGGTTCTTTAGGACTAAGGGTCCGCATTGTTTCTTGGTGCGGTTATAAAATTCTGACTAGAGCTTTTGGGGCACCACCAGTGTCCCAAAAGCTCTTTCGCCTCCCTCCAATTTTTAATAAATTACCTTTAAAGCTCGTCAATATTGCCATCTACTTAAAGCTGCTTGGTTTAAGTTTAAATTGTATTGAATGGCTCCCTAATAAAAGCTTTCAGGCCTCACTGGCTTATCTAAATGAAACTCTTTTGCTGGGTGGTATAGTTGGATAATATTTGATTTATCCTTTCTCCCCCACTGTAAGGAGTGTAGGTTTATTAACACCCATCATAATGCTCCCGTTTCCTCGGCATTCATCTTTAACTTTTTTTTTTTTTTTTTGGTGGCTTTTTGGGTCATACCCAATGATGCATGCACAGGGGTTATTCCTGGCTTATGCAATCAGAAATAACTCCTGGCGGTGCTCTAGGGACCATATGGGATACTGGGAATTGAAACCAGGTCGGCTGCGTGCAAGGCAAACGCCCTGCCTGCTGTACTGTCGCTCCAGCTCATCTTAAACTTCTTTGTGCTCTGCTTCCCGTTTTATCACTTACCCCCAAATCAGACCCTGTGACTTAGTAAGTCAGATTCATCTAAGACTCTTGATTTTTTGTTATTTCTAAGTGAAATATTGCTTTTCTCTTTCCTTTATGGCCTTTGCATAGTTAACTTTAGAGCAACTGGAACTTTTTGAACTGGAAGACAGTAAATGCTAAGCTTTTGTAACTTGGTTAATTCTAAATATATTCCGGGGCATCTATCATTATTACTTATGTCTCAAGTCGCCCTTAGTTCTTATTACCCCCCCAAAAACAGTACTGGGGCACTGGGGCGTACAGCACATAGGGCGTTTCCTTGCATGCGGCCCACCCAGGTTGATTCCCAGCATCCCATATGGTCCCGAGTACCGCCAGGTGTGACCCAAAGATTTTAAAAAAATCCTGAGAGGGACTTGGACCCAGGGCAAGCTATAAGCTACCCTGGCATGGAAATGGGACAGGCCAAGTGCCATAACTTTTAAGATTAAGGTTATTCCCCACAAGAAAACTGGATAAGGACCCTGCTGGGGTTAGGAAGGCCTAATCTCAAAATGGATGGGGAGTGTGAGACTGGAATGAGGCAGTAAGCCTCATGGGGACAAAGATAGGAAGAAACGGAGACTGACACAACCAGCCTGTACTTCCTTCCCTCCTTTCAAGTAGGGTGGGGAGGAGGCTCATGGCCACTCATGGTGCATGCCCACACTTTTTGAACTCTCAGTATTCAAGCAATGTAGTTAAGTTTCTGTTACATGAACTACATTTTGGAGTCACCAGTCTGAAAGGGCAACTGTCTACCGAAGCTTTTAAGTCAGACTTTCTTAGAAAATGAAGAAAGCTTAATACCCACTCGTTGGTATATTGTGCATTTTGCCATCAGGATTCTACATGACAATTAATGTTACTCGCCTAAGAAATGTATCTGGTATTCTAATTACAAAGTGCTAGATATCCCAAAAGAATATTGCCTAGCTAAGACTTTGGGTCTGCTGAATTATGACGTATAGAAACATCAAATTTAACTTCTGGTGCTTTTTGCCTGGTCCCTTGAGCAAGTTAAGTGGCACCGAAACAATAACTTCAAAAGATAGGACAATCCCACTCTCAGCAAGCGTCATACTCCCCTCATGAGCCATTTCATCACAAATGAAGCAGCTATGGCAAATGTCAACAAGAATCTTTATTATTACCCTATAACAGAGCCATGTACTCTTAGGCTTTCTTGCCAGATGCTTTTGGAGCAGCTGCTTTCTGAGCAGGAGCTTTCGGACCCTTTTGAGCTTTTGGAGGTGCTGCTGCCTTCTGGCCTGCAGCTTTCTGTGCAGGAGCCTTCTGGGCAGGGGCCTTCTTGCCTGCAGCAGCCTTTTTAGCTGGAACCTTTGCAGCAGCAGTGGCTGCGGCTGCACCCTTTGCAGCAGCGGCTTTTTTGGGAGAAGCTTTCAGGAGAGCCGCCTTTTGAAGCTTCTTAACTTCAAGTTTGATTATTCTGTTCCTCTGAAAAAGAGTAATGCATAAATTAATCCACTGCCCATGAATCAGATTTAACGGCTATTCTGTTCAAAACACCTAATAAAGGCAATTTTGTTCCGTAAAGCTTAACAAGAGTCAAAAAGTAGTTGAATTAAATACTAAAACACAACTGTGAAAGTTTAAAAGACTTACCATTTTCTTTGCCTTCATGACTTTGTAACGATCAAAATCTGTCATTTTGGCTTTCTAAAACAAAAAAAAAAAGAAAAAGTTATTCCCATATTACTGTTCTTTTTTTTTTTTGAAAAGAGGAAATAGTCAAAATTCAAATAAAAATCTTTACCCTTTCTCTGGCTTCAATCTTTTTGGCCCACCTTGTAGCCGCCCATTTTGTATTGATGTCTGCTTTTTCCCAAGCTTTCCGGACATACTTTTGACGCGCACTATAAAGAACCAGAACAGATTGAAAAAACACTTTCGGTCAGACCAGAGAAGAGCTTGTGTCTCTGGAAAGCAACTTATCCTTCCCAGATAAAATGCACAAGGAAAACCAGAGCTACAGTACAGGGGGTAGTATTCCTGCTTTGTAAGTGACTAACCCAGGTTTGATCCCAGTCCCTCATATGATCCTGAGTCCTCCCAGAGTGATTCCTGAGCAGAGTCAGGAATAATCCCAGAGCACAACTGGGTGTGGACCTGAAACCCAAAAAGCACAAGCAAAATAACCCAAAAAGACATGGCTCCCATTTGTTATACCCTATCATTGTCTCCACAGAACACAACACAGAACACACACTTGGTGTCCAGGCACACCAAGTTCTTGAGTTAAGTAAAGATATTTTAAACTCTCAACAGAATTTTAATTAAAAAAGTTAACTAGCCAGCTGTCTTAAGGATCAGTATCACCTCTGACCTTGTACCTATCTCTCCAGGGCAGTAAATTTGTAGAAAGCAATTTCTTAGAACTGAGGTAGCGTTCAACCTTCGGTCTAATGCTTTTGTTCTATACAACAGGGCCTTAAAAAATTTGTGGCCTAATCATCATAGAATCCAATTAGTCATTTTGCCACTGCAGCAGAACGCTAATGATACCTATCCTGACAACCGAGTATCTTTCTTCTTAAAAATAAACCCCCATACTGATTGCCTGATTCCCTTGTGACTACAACCAAACTTTTCATACCAAGATGATGTCTGTTCACTACTTAGCACATTAAAAGCTGAACTAATGAAGGATGTTTGGGAGACCAGAAAACCTTAATCTCTGTCGTGTAAATTCTAAAACAAAGGATGATAAAGGCAAAGCTGGAAATACAGGGTGGGGGGGTTGGGGGTTAGAAAATAACTATAGGAGAGAACACTGGAACAGTTAATGTTACCTATTTACTTCTACACTGTAGCGTTATTCCTTGGGACTGGCTACTATATTCCTGAGGAGTAACATCAAAAAGCCAAAATGGGAGACATCAGTTAAGGTTTGCATGTGTTGCATGTGTCCCACTGGTCCTCCTCAGCACTGGCCTGGAGGTTGTCCTAGAGCATCCTGGGTGCCTGCCCCTCCAGAAGTTTAAAACCTAAGGACTATATGACCTACTTTAAAACTACATAATAATCTCTAAGCAAAAATACTGGATTACAAGTCACAAATGGAGACAGGTTCTTACATATCAAGATGCCGGAAGGAGGGGGGGGAAGAAAGCCAAAGGAACAAAAAGGCAAAACCTAGAAAACTTTGCAACAAACACAGCCAGTGTCAGGACAACTGAGGCTGGAGGGTTACCTGTGTGGGAACTTGAGGACGAAGTCCGTGAGCTGCATGCATTTGAAGGGCATAGCCTGTCTCCTTACCCGAGTGCAGGGCCCATCAACCAAAGCCTAGAACACATATCAGTATGGTCAATGTCAAGAGCATCAATAAAAAAAACCCAACCATCACAATGGACACTACTGTAGTTCTGTAGTAGGATCCATCCTTCCAGACTCTGATCTAAATGCCTTGTATAGTTATTTTGATTAGTTCACCACTTACAAACCAACAAGGTATAACCAGGTCAATAATTCTGACATTTTAAATTTAATTTTTAAAAAGAATGAAAAAGTTTATTTGCTTGAAGCCCAACTATTCAACAGTGACACTCAAATTATCTATTTCCCTTACTCCACATCTTGATGCTCTGAAGGGCATCGAGGTACATTTAGGGCTTCAGGGAGCATGATGGCTTTTTTCCTTTTAAAAAAAAAATAATTATTATAGTTCTTTAGATTTTTTTTAAGGTGGGGAGGGTGGCAGGAGGCCAAGTAGGGACATTGGTGGTGGGAAATGTACACTAGTGAAGGGATGGATACTTGAATATTGTATGGCTGAAACCCAATCATGAATTGCCTTTGCGCCTGGTTCTGTTAGAACTCCCTTGCTGGTGCAGTGACCTCTTTTACCCACGCATCTCCCCCTCTCCACCCCTACGGTAGGCCGGCGGGCTCCACATTAAAAACCCAGGGGTGCTTTCTCAGCTCTGCGCTTACTTTTCCTCCACGGTCAGTAACGCCACGACACTGATGGGGGAGCCGTGGGGCCAATCGCCACCTACCGTCACCGCCGCCCTATTTTATTTCTTTTTTTTTGGGGGGGGAGGGGATTAAAAAATAGCACTTACCCGGTTCTGATCGATAACATCGACGATCGCCACCAGCTTCCCGGCATGAGGCCCAAAGGAGACATAGGCAACTCGGCCGACCTCCACAAAGCGCCTGAACACCTGAAACAGAGGGGACGGAAAAAGGGTTAGGCTGCACCCAAGGGCTCTCCAAGAAGGCCTGGCAGGACTCGAGGCAACGAGGCTTTATTCCAGCGGGGAAATGAGACAGGGGTGGGGTGGGGGGCAGGGAGGAGCAAGGCCAAGTGCCACGGGGGCACTGGGTGGGGAGCACCGATCCGCAGGGACGGGGTGGGTCCCCCAAGCTGGGTTCCGAGGCCGAGCACCGCCCCATGCGGTCCCGGTCCGCTGCGCCCTCCAAGCTTTCTCCGGCCGCGCACGCCGCGCCCCGGGCCCGCCGCGCCGTCCACGCGCTCGGCCGCCGCACGCGCGGAAGGGGCGCGGGGAACTCGCCGCGCCTCGAGTCTCACGCTCCCTCGGGCCCGGGGGGCGCCGCTGCAGGCCCCCACGACTTCGCCGGGACGGAGGGGCGGCGGCGCGGAGGCCGCACACGGACGCGGCCGCGCGCGGAACTCACCATCTTGGCGGCGCTCGGCGAGAAGAGGAAAGGCCCGGCCCAGCCTGCGCATGTGTAGGACACCGCCCCGCCCTCCGCGCCAGCGTGCCCGCTGATTGGTCGGGAGTCCGGGCGTGCGCGCGTAAGCCTGCGCCTGCGCCCTGGGACTCCACGGCCGCGCTGGCTGGCGGGTGGGGAGTGGGGGGAGTGGGGGGAGTGGGGGGGAGCTAGATGTTGGGTCGTAAGCACCGAGCGGATTAGGGGGAGGGATGGGAATGCCGTCTCTTAGGACATTAGGATGGTAAAGAACACTGAAGTCCCTGAACCTCACGGTGATTCATTAAAAAATTTATTTAAGGGGCTGGAGCAATAGCACAGTGGGTAGGGCGTTTGCCTTGCAGGCGGCCGACCCAGGTTCGATTCCCAGCGTCCCATATGATCCCCTGAGCACCATCAGGGGTAATTCCTGAGCGCAGAGCCAAGAGTAACCCCTGTGCATTGCCGGGTGTGACCCAAAAAGAAAAAAAAATTATTTTAAAAAACTATTTAAAAAAAAAGAGGAGAGATAGCAAGCAGCAACGGAGTACACCCTATGCACCCTCAGGACAAAACAAAAAGCAGAATAATGGGAGTGGAGAATCGGCACTGGTGGAGGGATGGGTACTCGATCATAGTATGAGGACTCGTGCGCACCTAAGTTTGTCAGTCTGTCCCTGTACCTCACAGTGATTCATTGAAAAATTAAAAAAAAAAAAAACAACACTGAAGTGACACCTTCCTTTGTAACTATCAGCATTCTATTTGATTTTCGTTAAAAAAAAAAACAAAAAAAAACGTTTGGGGCCGAAGAGTTAGTACCCGGGATAAGGGCCCTGCTTTCCTTGCACGCCGCCAACTCCTGTTGCTTCCAGGGCACCGTATAGTGATCCTCTGAGCCCCACCAGGAGCGATCCCTGAGCACTGAGCCAGGAGTAAGTCCTGACACAGCCGAAAATGCCCACCAAAAAACAAGTTTAAAGAATCATTGTTTTCTCTTCCACTGTTCATTAAGTATTCCTCTGAACTCATAACAGTGAGTTTTTATCTTGACTAAATGAGCATAGTTATTTTATTTCTTTCCCTTTCCCCCCTTGGGGGCAGAGGTGGAACACCGGTAGTGCTCAGAGGGGGCTATCCCTGATTGGGGTTCGCTTTGGGGACCTCCTGAATACCTGCAAACAAAGGTATTCAGGAGGTCCTCATAGCTGCACTCAGTATGCGCTCAATCTGTCGAACTGGCTCTCCATCCACTCAGTAATTTTATTAACCTTTCGTTTTATTTTTCTTTGTTGGGGTTTTGTACCACACGCAGTAGTGCTCAGGGGCTACTTCTGGCGATGTTCATAAGTCATGTGCAGTGGATCCAATTGGTCTGCCATTGTCAAGGCAAGCATCCTTAACACTTGTCCTATTTCTATGGCCCTTAACCTTTCATTTTAAAGCAATTGGAACTGACAGTGAAGTTGCAGATATACTAAAAGTAATCCCTATAGGTGATTCTCTTATGTTCCTCAAATCTTTATTTCTCCCAACACTCTATTTCTCCAACTCTCTTAAATTTGTTAATCATTCTGTCATTTTTTTTCTTAAGCCAGTTGAGAAATTGTGACATGCTTGTTGTTTTATCCTTGCACAAATGGTGTTATTTCCTAAAATAGGAACATTAAGCCTACATACTCAGTACAATGATCAAAATCAGGAACTTCTACAATAGTTTAAACTGCAATTGATTCAAATAATGATATTAATTGTCCCACCTCTAGAGGAAACGTTATAGAAGTTTTCTCAGTCTGGATTATTGCACTTCTTCTCATGATCAGAATTATGCATTTTTGATAGCAATGCTGTGCCTTGATGCATTATTCCAAAATATTGGTGTTACCTTTCTTCACCTAAACTGATGGTCATTATGCTGGCAATTCCGAAGTTTATTTTAGTTGGCTCGAAGCCCTTTACCAGCACATAGTCCCAAGACTGTTCTAGCAGCCTTCTAAGTGACTTGTTTTCTTTACTGCTGTCCTTAGTCTATTGTTTGCTCATTAGCCATAAAGAACTTTTGAAAAAAATGAGCTAGGAATTAGGGAGGTAACTTGAATGGCTATGATGCACACTTCATATGCAGCAGACCTGGAGTTCTTTCTCTATATGGCTTACCTGTTCTGGAGCACCACTGGTAGTGGCTCTCCGACCCCAGACACAGCACTAAGTGTAAAATCCCTAGCCTGCCATTCAAAGTGTTCCACAATCTTACCCCAGTACTGTTTTGTTTCTTTGATTTGATTTTGGGCCACACAAGCAGTGTTCAAAGCTTACTCCTGAATCTCTGCTCCAGGATCACTCCTCACAGTACTTGAGGCACCATATGCAGTGACCAGGTTTTAACACAGGTCGGCTGCATGCGAGGCCAGAGCCCTACTGGATATACTATCTCTATTACCCTTATCCCAATACTTTGCATGATTTTCTTTCTGGCCATTTTATGTCACTCATTTCGATTCCGCTATAGCTAAAGTACTTGTGTCAGTGTGTATGCTCATGTCCACCAGAGATTGAACCCAACATCTTACACATGTAAAGCAGGTACTTTACTAGTGCCCAAGTCATCAAGTCAAGTCATATCTTTTAATATAATTGGGCCCCCTCTTCCTACAATGTGCTCTCCACTAAAGTTTTGCGCTCTCTCTCTTTCTCCTTCTCTCTCTCCCCCCGCCCAACCCCTTTGTTTTTGACCCTCCCACCCCCATCGCTCAGGGATCACTTCTGGCTCTGTGCTCAGGGGTCACTCCTGAAGGTGCTTGGGGGACCAGATGGTGTGCCAGGGATCAACCCAGGTTAGTGTCTTACAAGACAAGTGCCCTACCTGATGTACTGTTTCTTCAGCCTAGTTTTCACATTCTTCAAAACTCCATAATAAAGGCAAGATGACTACAAATAAGTCTTGTCTACCTCGAGAGGTGGCAGGCGTCCAGAAACCAGCAAGATGATTTTTAGCAACTTCCAGAAGACAGAGATTTCAGAACCACTCCCAGCACCCTTGGAGTGCTGGTTGGATAGCCACGCCCCCTCCAAGCTGTCTCATCCAATCACAAGGAAGGAGGGCAACCCGTGGCCCTTGCCAGTATCCAAGTTGGCGCCCGGGATGGGCGGGGGAGGCAATAGTCTTCTCCTGGAGCCACGCCCCTGTCTACGTCATCCCTGCTAGTCCGATCAGGTATTGGAGGCGTGGTCAAGCCTCTAGCTGCTCAGGTGTAGTGGCCAGAAGTCCTCTATTTTTTTTTTTCCGCTTTTTGGTTCACACCTGGAGATGCACAGGGGTTACTCCTGGCTCATGCACTCAGGAATTACTCCTGACTATGCTCGGGGGACCATATGGGATGCTGGGAATCAAACCGGGTCAGTCCCAAGGCAAATGCCCTACCCGCTGTGCTATTGCTCCAGCACCCAGACTACTCTTAAACTAAGACTTTTCTTAGAGGAAAGTGTGTGAAGATTGGTTGTATTTCATCCTGGAACCATTGAGCCCACGCATAAGAGATTACTAACATGTTTGTTAAACACCATCAAATGTTCTGTGTTACTCTTGGTACATCAGAGGTGCAGAGTCTGAGAGGTCGCTACAGGTGGCTCCAGGAATTCTAAAATTTAGAAAACGATTATACAGCAGATTCACTCATGGATAAGGTCTATATTGCTCTCTTCTGGGTGCTTCATTTCTGAGTCTCTGGATCTTGGCTGTTGATGAGATTATATGGTGCCAGCAGCAGATTGTGGGTGTGGGTGTGACTGCCAAGCTACTGGTAAATTTGGAAGATGGGAGGCAGAGGTCCATTCCCGCTCTGAGTGGGCTTAGAGATTTCAGTCAAGGGTCCTTTTAAGTCACAGGTCCTGCATACCTGGGTTTCTCTGCAGATTCACTCATAGGTGAGCAGATTATTCATAAGAAGCAATACAAAATTAATTGTTTTGGTTCTTCTTTGGGGGACTCGGTTTGGGATTTGGTTTGGAAACATTGGAAATATGATGGTGGGAAGGTGCAATGGTGGTGAGATTGGTTTGAATATCAAATGTAATTTATTACTGTGAACAACTTTATAAAAATTTAATTTAATTTAAAATAAAAACGAGGGGCTGGAGCGATAGCACAGCGGGTAGGGGGTTTGCCTTGCACTCAGCCAACATGGCCGACCCGGGTTCGATTCCCAGTATCCCATATGGTCCCCCGAGCACTGCCAGGAGTAATTCCTGAGTGCATGAGCCAGAAGTAACCCCTGAGCATTGCCGGGTGTGACCCAAAAAGCAAAATAAATAAATAAATAAAATAAAAAACTAAGACTTTTCTTTTTTCTATTTGAACTAACTTTTTAAAAAAATTGAATCACCATGAGACGCACAGTTACAAAGTTGTACATGAGGGGTTGGAGTGATAGTACAGGGGTAGGGTGTTTGCCTTGCATGTGGCCCACATGAGTTCAATCTCTGGCATCCTGTAAGGTCTCTCAAGTACTGCCTGGAGTGATTTCTGAGTGCAGAGACAGGAATAACCCTTGAGCCTAGCTGGATGTGACCCAAAATTTTAAAAAAAGTAAAGTTGTACATGATTGTTTGTTCAGTCATTGAATGTTCCAATATCCTTCACTTCACTTGTGTACATTTCCCACCACCTATGTCCCCAGTCTCCTACCTGTCTCCCCTTCCAAGCCTGCATCTATGGCAGGCTCTTTTCCTATCTCTCTCTCTCTCTCTCTCTCTCTCTCTCTCTCTCTCTCTCTCTCTCTCCCCTCCCTCCCTCTCTCTGTCTCTCTCTCCTCCCCCCTTTCTCTTTCTCTCTGTCTCTCTCTGTCTCTCTCTATGTCTGTCTCTGTCTCTCCCTCTATCTCTTTCTCCTCCCCTTTCTCTGTCTCTGTCTCTGTCTCTGTCTCTCTGTCTCTCTGTCTCTCTCTCTCTCTCTCCTTCCCTCATGGGTATTATGGTTTGCATTACAGGTACTGAGAGGTTATCATGTATTTTTTACATACTACCAACTTTCAGCACTCAGTTTATGTCCAAAGTGATTATTTCCAACTATCATTGTAGTTGGAACTAAGACATTTTAGCTGGTCCACTGTTTTTAGCAA